TTCTATTTGATGGCAATTTAAAGTTTCATTTTTATTAGGTATCTTGTAACACAGAATGTAAGAGACCCTTTTAACATGGGGAGGAGAGTAAGTGCTCTTTCGTGATTTGTTCATGTGAAGACCTAGATCCATGGTTCCTTCTGCGTAATTTAACACACGTTGATCAAGTGTCTGCTGCATGTCAGGCATTGTGCTAGATGTGGGCTTCTGGATGTGTAACGCCATAGTCCTCACTCTGGAGGATTATTTCCTGCCCAGTGCTGTAGCACACTGCACGCATGCTCAGTGGCGTTTTCTTGCATGAAATACTAGGAATCCTGCTGGTTCTGCCTCCACCATTTTTTACTATGGGATTCGACTTGTCCATGTGTGTGTCTTCATTTTAAAAATTGGAGTGTTAATATTTGGCTTAATTGCTCTACTGCACAGATTGATACAAACCAGCCATTCCTTCAACATAGATGTTGACCGCATGCTTAGTATTCTGCTGGGTGTGAGATATATAGCAGCGAATCAAGTGAGAGAAAAGACAAGAAAACAGGTCTATACTTCGATAATTTATAAAGTTACATGAAGATGCTGTATCCAGTAGAGATATATGAACGGTGAACTCTGGTAGTATGTTAGAAATATATAAGTGCTGATTTTTGCCCGAGGTATATTGGGAGAGTTTCTTAGAAGAAATGGTAGTTGAATTGCATTGGAGAGGAGGAGGTAGGGAAGGTGGGAAGGAGAAGACCTTGCAGGCAGAGGAAAAAATATTTGTAAAGGCACCTGGGTATTATAGGTCTTAGAAGGTTTGGGGAAGCATGGGGCTTTGGGTATGATGGAGCGAGTTGTAGTCTCTGAGGCTGAGTGGTGGGGGATAGAGCAGGGTCCAGATTGTGAAGCTGACATCTTTAGGTGCTTTTAAAGAAAAGAGCAAAATAACCAGGTTGTTTTGTTACTGGTTAACTACCTTGTAAAGAATAAACTTGGGACAGAGGAAGTTGAGATAAGAGGGTTTTGCCATTATTAAGGGTCACAATTAGGGCAGAGATACGGGCCCGTAGAGGGAGGGCAGGTTGGGGAGACATTTTAAGAGATCTGAGCAGTTCGATGATCCTTTGGAGGTGGAAGAAAGTGGGGAATCAAGGGGGATCCTGAGGTACTAGCTCAAGGACACCAGTGAAAGATCCCGCGTATAGGAAGTAGGAGGTTTGAATGAAAGGGCGTTGATGAGTTCACTTTCTAACGTGCTGAGTTTGAGGTGCTTGTAGAGTATCTGGGGAGAGACGTCCAGAACAGTATTGTCCAGTAGAACTCTTCAGTTACAAGAACGTTCTGTGTCCACTGTCCATTACGGTAGCCACTGGCAACATGCAGCTATTGGAGCACTTGAAATGTGGCCAGTGCCACTGAAGAATTGAATTTTAAATTTTATTCAATTGTTGAAATGTAAGTAGCCACATGGTGGCTAGTGGCTACCACATCTGACAGTGCAGATCTAGAAAGTATTGGTTGGAATTACTGATCTAGAGCTTGTGTTAGAAGTGGGGTAATTAGCCTGCCCTGGCCTGGGAGTTTCTGGGGACACTGGACTCCTCAGTGCTAAACTGGGAAGGTCTCAGGCAAACTGGTATTGTTCAGCCAAGCCAGAGGTGTTATCAGTCTGTAGTTAGGAACTTTAGTTGTCGTGTTTCTGAAACATCTATGTCCACTCTGCTGCTTCCTGGGCTGGCTATGTCGTGATTTGCAGCTTGGAAAGAAAACTCCCTTTCTTGGCATGAGGGGGTTAGAAAGTAGAAAACCAGCATGATTCTTGAAACACGTGCTCTGCCCGATATTCTTCTTGTTTTCTGAAGATCTTCCTCTTTCTTCCATTCTGTATTCTCAGGTAGTGATTCCCCTCCTTGGCTACACATCAGAATCACCTGGGGTGCTCACTTCTTAAAAATAAGGATGCCCAAGGTCTCCCCTAGACTAAACCAGAATCTTAAGTTGGGGGTAGGTGGAAAGGGGGCTAGACATTTGTATGATTTAGAAGCTTTCCAAGTGATTCTCATGTGCAGCCAGTATTGACAAGTATGGGTCTCAGACATGGTTCCACTTCTTTGTCACTTTTTTTTAATTACATCTTTTTAAGTTGATCTTTAGCCCACTTTCTCCTGGTACCTTCAGATATTTTCTGCTCTGTCATCTTTCAGACCATATGTGACAAAAGTTAGACCGAGACTGAGGGCATTAGGGAGCAGCTTGATCTCTTGTGCACACAAGACTTTGCTGTTATCAGTAACAATAACCATGGCTAATGTGTGTTGAACATTTAATATGCCTAAGTACTCTTGTATCTTACATGTTCACTTACTCTTAATAACAATGTTGTGAGACATGTATAATTATTATTCCTGTTTTTCAGATGAGGAATCAGAGATAGATTAACCAAAGTGCTCAGGCTGAGATTAGGCTGCACTTTTTAATTACTGTGCTCTGTAACTTTATAGTGCAGTGAAATGTACTATACCTGTTAACTGAGAGATGAGGTTTTTCCCAAACCGTGGGTATTTTGCATATGGCAGAGAATTGATCACAGTCATCTTTTCTTTGGTACTGGTTAATTCAAGATTTGGAGGGTCTCTCTCATCAAATCAGTTGACTTAGAAAAAAAAATTTCAAACTGTGAGTCAGTTCTGAAACAGTAAGGGTTTCTCTGTGACCCTTTAGCATTGGCAAAAAAGAAGTAGCTGAATAATGTAGGTCACTCTAGTTTTTGCCAGTTTTGTTGAGGGTGGGGTTACATATATATTCACAATGGTGTGTGTGTGTGTGTGTAAATATTATTTAGAGCAGTGAGCTTGGTTTTTCATTTTTATTTAAAAGAAATAAAAATATTAGTAACTGGTTTTCTTTTCTTTTATGCTCTATCCCCCAAGTGTCCTTGTCCCACTACCAAGTGGTTGAATTCTTCCCATACTTTTTATTTCCTTTCCTTGTACTTGGCTTTATTATTTATTTTTTTAGCTCTCACATTATCACAACAAAGCATATTTTCTGTGGTTTCCATTAAGATATGATAGCTGGAGGGTTCTTAATTAACGCTTTTCATAAAGACCCAGTAATTGGAAGTCTATAACGTTTCATCTGGATCCTATTGGGAATGTAATGGAAGAATAGTATTGGTATTTTTTAAAAAGCCTTCAAAGCCATCATCTGATGTTTTAAGCAGGAAAAAAAAATTTTAATGTCAATATGAGATCATGGTTTTATAAGCCATTATTGTTTGTTTTGTATGTCTGTAAAGTAGGTCATGAAGGATAGAGCGGTCAGTCAATTTTGATTTTTTGGCTTCATCTATAGATACTTTTAAATGTCAAGTAAACTAAAACAAAGTCTCTCAATAAAGTATCTATTTATTTTTCAAAACAATATTAGATATAATAACACTTGGACCATGACCATAGATAATCCAATGGCGTTAGTGCATATTTTTAGAATCTCTTAGTTCTTGTTTCTTTTTGTTAAAAAGGAAGGGGGATGTTTTATTGATTTTTAAGCATCAAGAACACTTGAGTTTGTGCTCATCGGTTGGGGTTTGTGTGGTGGAGGCTGATGAGAAGCTGTATTCTCTGGTCAATCAAATCTTTTATGTTGAAAACGTAATTATTTTTAAAAGGGCTTTATCATTACAGGTATACATTTAGCTATTTTATGGGCTAATTTTCAAGGATTCTTTTTGGGTGTGGCTTTAATAAAATTATTAATTAATTCTTATTTAAATGGTTCTGGAGTGCTAATAAAACTCCTGGGCATTGGTGTGGTCTAATCCCATAAATATTTGTTGATTTGAATTGGATTTTAAGATTTTGGTCCTACCATTAGTAGGTATTCTAAAGCCTTTAAGACGCGATTGGAGGAAATAAAACGTGTACTTTACCATGGGAATTGTCTGTTTATGGAGTGTTCTCTGAACCAGTGGTTAGAATCCTACATGTCTAGAATTAATGGCCAGAGTATCTGAGATGTTCTTGAAGCCCCTGGTTTCATACGTTTTATTTCTGTCTTCAGGTTATTCATAGAAATAGGAAGTTCTAGTTGTCTTTTTTTTTTCCTTTTCTTTTTTTAAAGAAAAACTGAGCTTTTTGTAAGTAAATCCCAGTTGGAAACTTTAAAAGCAGAAGTATAAAAATCCAAGCTGATGGTTTCCTGGCTCACTGGTACCAGTGAAGGGGCTGACCTGAGAGTATGTAGCAGTTCTGCTCCATCATTAAGCCCAGATCATTCTCTGTCTTCTCATCACCTGTTTTAAACATAATATTCCCAACTGTTAGGGATACCTAAAAATCGTGCTTTGGCTAAAAGATGAATGTGGGGGTTCAAGTTACTTTATTTTTTTGGCAATAGAGAGTTTTAAGTAGAAAATTGCTGTTTTTTTTCCCCCATATAGTTGGAAATATTTCCAAATAATTCCCATTATTTTTCCAACCTAGTAAAATGAATGTGGTTGGTATCTGGTCATGGCTTGGTGATTGATGATCTTGCAGTGCCCCCAAATAGTTGTTATTAGCAGAATACTCATAGCTTAAACTTTTGGTTATGTGGATAAAGTAGATGTGTGACAGTAAGTTGAATGTGTAAACCTCTCGAGGCTGATTTTAAAACTGAACCTCTGATTATAGTACCACAGACCAAGAGTACTGGAAGGAACTTCAGGGAACACCCACCTGTCTCCTATCACGGGGCCAAGTGCTGAGTATCCAAGAGAATTGACTTGTCATAGGTCACTTAGGGCTCATAGATCTTCCTAGGAACCTACGCAGAACTGAAATTCAGCTCGGTGGGTTCCTTTCTGCCACGGTCTCTTTTTCTTCTTTACTCTTAAAAGCAGAAGCCCTTCTTCTATGGCCTCTTCTGCACCCCACCCCCAACCTAGTAAATAGGCAATAGGGGTTAGTTGGGTTCCCGGGTTTTCCCGTAACAAACTTTTGCTAGAGTGATAACGTTGCTTTCCTTTTTTCTTTTAGCAATAGGCGAATATGAAGACCTTAGAGCAGAGAACCAGAAAACAAAGGAGAAGGTTTGTACTTTACCCTTTCTTTCCTTTCTTACATGAATAAAAGGCTAGACGGCATGGTGCATTGTTCTGCCACCAATTTCAGTTAAATGCGAATGAGTTTTTTTTTTTTCTCTCTCTCTTTTCTCCTGCATGTGTGGTTCAAGCTAATATCAACTCCAGGCTCCAGATGGTAAAGAATAGCAGGCATGCCACAGTGGGTGCTGCTCCGGGAGATTAACTACACAGCTAAATGTGCAGTGAGGCACCAGGCCAAGCAACTCAGGCCCCCAAGAACTGTACTTTTTCCCAACAGTCAGATTTCAGATTCTAGTGATGGAATCGAAGACATTTACTTTTGGGGTTTAGACTTACTAGATTTTGGAGAGAACTGTTTAGAATTAGTCATTTCTGTTTAGCCCAAATACCTCCATAAACCTTTGTGTGTTTACTTCCTCTAAGGAAATGAATAATATACTAGAAGTTGAAAAACACCCAATGTGAAGATGGGGAAGCCTGGGGAACGTTTTCAGGAACTCTGGTGGTTTTAATTTTTAAACTGTTAAATAATTGAATTCTACTTACATTTAAAAAAATACTTACCTTTTTGTCTCTGAATATGTTTATTTAAGATTTGTGAATATTTGTTTATATATATATATATATATTTTCCCCCTATAAATTTAGGGAGGGGACAAATGGAAGGCAAGGCTAAGTTTAAAACAAAAAATAGGGGGACTGAATAGAAAAATGAAAAGTAGGAGGGAGAGCAGAACTGTCTATTATTGTTTTAGACTTAAACGAAATTTAATCTTAGAAATTGTTTGATAGACCAAATATGTCAAAACATAATGTCTGTGGTAGAAAATTAATAAAACCAGTCTTTCCTGGACATCATTATTATAAATTATTAAATTTCGCCTTTATAATTTCAGAGCTGTAATGAAAATTGGCAGTGAGCTAAATATTTGTAAACCCTGAGGCGTATTTTTCTGTGGAGGTATTTATTGGGCCCTTAGGAATTGTATTTAGCTTTTTCACTCGTATTAATTTGCCACCTCTATAGCTGTAGTATGCTTGGTGATATCGATGATAAATACTCTCATTCCTGTGCTCATTTTGTAAGTAAGTGTTTGGAGTTCTGTGAAATCTTAAGTTTCTTCTGTTCCTTTCATCAGGCGAGTCAAGGAATGGGTAGGTGGGGGTGATAAAAATACCTGTGGTAGAAGATGGCTGGTATATGCATCTCTAATATGGTAAGAAGGCCACAAAAAATAGTTTGACAAAATTTCTAATTCTAACACCATAACCACCCCAAATCACAGATGTCCTGAGGATGCCAACAGCTGGGGAGTTTGTGCTAAATCCCGGGTCCTTGAAGTGCCACAATTTCCAAGCGAAGCTAATGGGTGATGCCTGGGCCAGCTAGCTTGAGTCTCCTTTTCTGAGACACCCAACCGTCTTCCAGCTCTAGGAGAAAGAGCTAAGAAGTTATCAGTTGGTTGAGTCTCTTCCATAGATGTTCCAGGCCCAAGAGGGGAAGAACAAAACAGGTTGAAAGGGTTAATTCAGGAGAACTGTGACTTAACCTAGAAGATATGGGGAGAGGAAGGAAACAGGTGTCTTCATAGGACAGAGAAGGAAGGCTATAGAAGAAAATGAAGAACATAAGAGGAGGAAGAGTAAACTTTTTTTCTCTTTTCTCCTTCTTTAACCCTTGCTTACTTGTAGACCTAGCAGTGCCCTAAAATCGGCAGACGTTCTGTAAACATCAGTTGGTGGTGGTGATGATGGCTGTTTAGCTGAGAGCCACTTTCTGCGGTGAGGTTCTCAGTGAACCATCAGTTATGCGAGCAGAATTATAGGTGAAACACAGTTGGTAAAAGAAGGACTATAACTTACTTTAGCCCATTAACTGTTTACATGTTTCTCTATACAGAGTATGGCTTAATACTTTTATAACATCTGTATGCATTATTGACCTGCTTCTGTTCTAATTCTTTAAAAATAACTATTATCAGGAATGGGGAAAAAAAGGAAGTGAAAGCAATATGGAATGCTGTGTGGTTGAGTAAAACCAAATAGAGTGGTTTGAAGTTCACTGCACTTTGTTTATCTTCTGTTAAAAGACTAGCAGGCTTATTAGTGAAGGTTTTTCCCCCAGAAGGGGGGCTGTATTACAAAGGAGCGAAGCATGGAATAAAAGCCTTTTAATACAGCATAGACGGAGTAAAAGCAGCTCTAGTTCCGGAGGCAGTAAACGGAGAACACCATCTTCTCTGGCAAAGCACCTTCTTGTGCCTGGCTGGGTGAGCGTTGCCCGCTCCATATCAGCAAATATACGTGGCTGTTCTTACCTTACGGCCCCATTACAGAGGTCACTTAAGTCTGCCAAGGACAGGAAATCTAAAGAAAGACTCCTTTAGGCATAGTTAATTTGATATGGGGAAGTTTTGCACCAGTGGAAGGAACCAAAAAAAAAAGTTGCAAGTTATTTCTCCCTTTCACATGTCCACATCGACTCTACCTGTCTTTGTTGCCAAGTCATGAACCTTATCGGTGGGAAGAGAGAGTGGGTGTGATTCATCTGGGTAAGATCTTATGCCCTGATGCCCTGTTTGGAATCTCCTGTTGAGACAAGTGGTAGGACATGAATCTCCTCAGAGAAGGCAGCTGCTTAAGAGGCCATGTTTATTAAGAAGCTACTATGGGTCGTGCACGTTCACTTGTCTCCCTCGGCTGATGCTTCAGACAGCCCTGTGTCACCTCCGTTTCACAAACAACAGGACCTGAGGGTTTAACAGAGTCTAGATTCAAACATGGGTCTTTTGACCGCAATGTTTTTTTTTTTTGAAGCAGCTTAACTTACAAGAGCTAATTGACTCTTTCTCCACAAGTGTCTTAGTTTTATTCATAATTCTTTATTGGTAGTTCATGAATTTTCCACGTGAACTTAATTCCACAAATTACCAGACTCAGTACTTTTCTGGATCATTCGTCTTCACCGTCTATCAGTGTGTGTTTAAAAACTGGAAGTTGAATATCAAATTGATAATAAAATAAAATAAACATCAAATCAGCCTTGAGTCAGTAAGATTCATGTATGTGTGTGTGTGCACATAGACTCTGAGATAGTGCATTCCAAGAATAAGAGTAGGAATTTTGGAAGGGTGGGCCAAAGTTTTAGGATTTTTTTTCCACAGTTTTCCCTTTTAAAGAAAAATGTAATGTTGATCACTTTGTGGTTTTTAATCAGTGTTTTAAGAATGGAATCAGAATCTTTTTTGAGTTTAAGGAAAGCTTTTTGAAGGGAAAATGTTTTGTTGAAGGCCTTCCGAGTACTAGGGTTTAAAGAAAAGTATATGAAGAAGATTCTCACTCTTGAGTAAAACCACTCTAATGGGTGACACAGGCAAGGTGACACATAACCGTTGTTACGTATAATTGTTGTTATGTATAATCGTGATGATATAAATGGATGCCTAGAGTTTGGGGGTGGGATGGGAAAAGGACAGAAAGACAAAGTTCCTGCTCAGTCGCATGTGACAGATTCTTAGCCGCTCTTAATGCTTAACTTACATGTCACTTGTATTCAAAGTCTTCTCTGTCTCACAAGCAAAATTAATTGTTTGCTTCTTTGTCATAAAAACATCTGTATATTTCTTATGCACTTATTTTATCGACAAAAAGTTTAATTCTAAAAATATTACATGGGGTCCAAATTGTATGGGCTGGATTAAAATATAAAAAATTCAGTTTTTTTTTTAACATCAAGATAAGTGGAGATTATGAAAAGAGTGCTACTTTCCATTACTTTTTTGCCTATTTTCTACATGACATTATCAAGAGTATGTTAAAAAAGTAAGAAAGCCTATCCTATTGAGGTCAGCAATCCTTCCAAATCTGTTTTTGGGGGGTATGGAAAAATAGAGGACTATACATTTTGGAATCAACTAAATAAAATATTTTACTCTGCTTGTGAAACAGTCACCATATTCAAATGTTAGTCATGCTTTTACAGTTGAAGGGCATTCTCTTATGACTCATTCAGGATCTTTGTCATAATTATTTGAGGTTTTTTTCCTATACGGGGGGCAAAGCCTCACTGAGCTTTTAATGGAATCGCTTTCAACTTTGTGAAGGCGGAGGGTGCGTGTGTATGGAGTGTGCATAAAAAGGAGGAAAACTATAATAGAAGAATGTCTGCCTTTAAACAGTAAGTATTTATGTTTAATATTATGAACTGAGATGGAGTTTCGAAATGAATAAATGTTTAAGTGGCTGATTAGAAGTCGTTTGGGTGAGCTACTGTGACAGTGCATCAGGCGGTTCTGTCAGCTTGCCAGGAACAATGAATGAAAAGGGAATGAGACAGATACTTTCCAAGACTTATGTTTCAAGAAGCAAGATATATGATACTGTTTGCATCTTGGTTCAGCTGTCTATTATTAAAATTTCTTCCTCTTGTGTAAATTTCAGAGGTGAAGGTCCCCACGAATTTTATTGAGAAAAAAAATCAATAAAGAAGCCACTTTAAAGAGCAAGATATGCATCCATTATGCTAACTGTTCATGCATAATACATCCACATACATGCAGTTTCTTTACAACAGAGTGGCAAGTGGTTGTGCCAGAGAAAAAGTAATTACTTAGCAGTTTGAACGTGAAAATGAGTCTCTTATTAACAGCAATCTATCCAGAAACAAAGAGCAGGGATCTCTGTTCTGATGACATGTGTTTCCATAGAACACACAATACCTAGAATTTGGAGAATGCTGTAAGACAGCTTTAGGGGGCAGCTACCACTTCATTGCTTGTGAAAATTGGAGGGAAAGAACTTTGAATTGGAAGAAAGAGCACCACCGAAAGAGAGAGAGAGTGAAAGGAATTCTGTCCTAGTGGGAATGATTTAATTTATTGTGTTCTTTAAGGATAAGCACCATTGTGTTCTAGCCAAAGTTACATAGGTGGAGCAATAGAATTGTCGATGATTGTTAAAAATGATTTGATGGCCCTCTGACTGTA